CAATATTAGAGAATTCTTCCGTTTTCTAGGAGTTATACAAAATGAGAGAGATCAGTTTTTGCCATCTATAAACCTTTATTAAAATAATTTCCGTGAGACATACAAACATAATAAAACAGTATACATCAATAAGTACAAACATAAAAAATACAAATGTACAAAGTGCAATGTGGTTACGTGATACTACAGACATGATAAGGATGTCAGGACACAATGCCACCTAAATACTAAGGAAGTACATTCAGTCGAGTGGGCCTCATTCTTGTTGTAGTCCATGCCAGTTTGTACAGGTATGCGGAAATCGAATGCATACACAAGGTGTAGAAGCAGACATTTTATTATATCTATAAGTGGTCACAATTGATACCAGAACTATGTTCTTACTAGGATGTAATAGTTTCTTCCAAAATCTGGCAATACTGTATTAGCAGCTATCAGAAAGTACAGAGCCATCAGCCTAGGGGTACCCCAGAGGGAATCTAGAAACATATCAATTAATTAATATTCAGGGAGTAGGGGTAGGGGAATTTGACTCAGCTGATAAATAGACTTCAAGCCAAAATGAAGTAATACATGTAGTGAAGGGCAAAACCAAAATATTTGGAGAAAAGACCCCACAGATCTCAGGCAACTGCAACATACGGAAAGACGCCGTGAAACCATACACCATCTTAAAATTAATTCTGTCTAGTTTCTGAATTATTTTCTTAGATGCTTTTTTCATGTGGGACAAGGTCTTAAGCCATAAGTGGGTCAAACTAGTTAGACAATTCCTTCTCCCATTGGAACATGTATGGTAATTTGATTGAGGATGCTGCAGTTACCAATTCGGACCAAGATGACAAAATGAACCTGCGGGCATAACTGCTCTGGAGGCAGAAGAGACTTATGGCTATGAAAGCTGAGATATCATAATCCTCCAAATTATTAATTTTAAAAATGTGTTTACCTATAAGATGCATAATTAATGCTTGATACTCCTCCCCTCCATGCCCCCGTACACTTCCATTCCGTGTCCCCCTACCGTTCATCCATGTTTCTTCCCATTCTCCCCATGTCCCCTACCCCTTCCATCAATGCATCCCCTCCTCTCCTCCATGTCTTCCTACCCCTTCCATCCATACCCATCTTCCCTCCATGTCCCAATACCCCTTCCATCCATGCCTTCCCTCCTCTCCTCCATGTCCTCCTACCCCTTCAATCCATACCCCTCTCCCCTCCATGTCCCACTACCCCTTCCATCCATGCCCCTCCCCTCCATGTCCCACTACCCTTGCATTCAAGTTTCCCCCCTCATGTCCACACTATCCCGACAATTGATTTTTGCGCTCCTGACGAGAACAGGTTTCGCCATTGGTTCGTTCACTTCTTAAATGTTAGCAAGATGTTTGAATGAACCGGAGCAAACCGGCTGAATCCCACCATTGATTAACATCTATCTCAACACCTCTTCAATTTTTTCCTATCAGTCTTTAGCTTTTATTTGTTGGTGCATGCTATACTGAATAAATGTAACTTCTCAGTTTTTATTTTCAACATGCTCCAACTTATGCATGTACTTCTTACTATAAAAGAGGCTTTGTTCATCTGTATGCAATCTTTATTACTTAAAAGATGCTTGAATAATCTATATGAATACTCTATATGTGACTACATATGCAATATAATCTTGCTATATACAACAGTTATTTTTGTCTTAGGTCAGCTATGCTCAAACATATGTCACTATTCATGTTATCTCATAATGCTTTTTTCACATTTTATGTTTGGCAATGTCACTACTATGAAAAAATGTCGGTTATACAAATGTCTCAATAAAAAATTGCAATAATGAAGATATGTGTCGCACTTAATTCAGGCAGTTACCCGGTGCTCCGGAGCAGGACCAGCAACCCCACAACGATAAGACAAAAGAAGAAATTCTCCAGGCACTCAAGGTTTTCAAACCACAGGCAGTTTTAATAGAAAAGATCAGCAACGTTTTGACCTGCTAAGAGGTCTTTGTCAAGCTAACACCACATTGTCAAAATAAGTGTATATATATGTATATATATATATATATCAAACAGTGTAAATGATCAACCTATAATTAACTTACACATATCTCATTTATATTAGTAATTAACACAAATCATGCAAATAAAAAAAAA